AGATAGTAGATATATATGTGGTTTTGTGCATGCGTTGTAATGTGTTGGTTTTTGTTTTTTTGCTTTTTAAGTCCCTTCCACTGTGTTTTTATGAGTGATGGTCACTCGCTGGCCTGAGAGGTATCTTGTTTCCAAATTTGGTGTCAATTCATCCAGTGGTTTTTGAGTTATGTTAATCCCACAAACAAACATTACATTTTTATTTATATAGATTGTGTGGGTGTATATGTGTATATATGTTTTGTGCATGCGTTGTAATGTATATATTTTTTTGCTTTTTAAGACCCTTCCATTGTGTTTTTCAGTGTTTTATGAGTGATGGTAACTCTTTGGCCTGTCTTGTGTCCAAATTTGGTGTCAATTTGTCCAGTTGTTTTTGAGTTATGTTAATCCCACAAACGAACATTACAAACCCACTTCCCTAGTTCCAACAGACCTCACTACCTCTGAGGATGCTTGCCATAGATGCAGGCGAAACATCAGGAGAGAATGCCTCTAGAACATGGCCATATAGTCTGAAAAAACCTACAACAACCCAGAACATTACATTTTTATTTAACGTATATAGATTTAGCTTTCTCTGCCAGAATTCCATAGCATTGAGCCATGGCAGTTAAAGGGTTGCCAAACTGCTTTAATTCTACAGTGTAGATGCACCCCAGCTAGGTGTGAGTGTGGAAAAAGTAAGTATTGTGCAAAAAAAGTTTAAGCTCCACTTTTCCTCTGCTGTTTCTTCTTGAAAATTGTCTTCTCATATCACTCTTTTCCCCACCACCTTAATTCTAGTCGGGTTTTCAGATCCATTTTCCCTTCCCAGAATCCCAGCTTGAGGTGCAGCTACAGGGGAAAAGGACAAGGAACAAAGCGAGAATGAGCTCTTTTCTCTTCTAGCCACCATTTTCACCCTATAAGCTGTCTTTTCTCAATGCCATTTTGCAGAGAAAAAATAAATTGAGTTTCAAAACTTTAGCTAAAAAATGTTGTGCAAGTGAGAGAAAAAAGGCAACGAGATTCAGTACTACTTCGCTAGACTTTGAAAAGTCATTGATAATCTTGGTAATAAATCTTCATTTTAGGTGTTCATTACTTCCTTACCAAATGGACTACAGCAATAATTTACCTCTAATAATCGACCGCACAAGCTGAATGCTAATAGAAAGGCATTGCAGATGGTAATATTAAAAATTAAATGTGAACTTCCAGACTGTTCTTTATTTTTCCCTCAGGTGTAATTAAATTGTTTCCCTCATCTGCTCTCTCATCACTAGTTTATACTTAACATAATTTTAAGCATTTACTCTGTCTCGCACAAGTCTCTATCAGGATAAAAACAGAAATTCTTAATAAAACATGAAGCGCTCAGTCCAGAAGAAGCTAATTGCTCTTAAATATGACTAAAACCACTGTTTCACAGTGAAGGAGTAAAGCTAGCAGTCCTAGTGGATAATGGTGGAGCATCTACATTATATAATTAATGCAGTTTGACACCATTTTAACTGCTATGGCCCAATGCTATGGAATCATGGGACTTATGTTTTAGAAACTCATTAGCCTTCTCTGCTAAAAGGTGATGGTTCCTACCCAAAGTACAACTGCCATGATTCCATAGCATTGAGCCATGGCAGCTGAAATGATACCAAGCTGTATTAGTTCTAGTGTAGATGTACCCTGTGACTTATTGCATTGAGTCATGCATCGAATAAACACACACAGCTGTATCCCGAAGTGTAATACTTTATTATTATTATTATTATTATTATTATTATTATTATTATTATTATTAACTGCATTTCTATACCGCTTTTCTCACCCCTGGGGGGACTCAAAGTGGTTTACAACATAATAAATGGCAAATTCAATGCCTCACATATATATAAAAATATCACATATCTAAATCAATAACATATAACTGCAGATAAAAACCATTAAAACTATAAAAACATCAAACATAGACATAAGCATGAAACATATTCTTGCTGCAATTAACAGTGTAGACCCCTGCTCTTCTCCCCCTTTCTGTCAGAGATTGGCGATCCCCAACGGAAGGAATGCTAGATCAAGCAGACACTGAGTTGCAAAATAAGGACTCTGCAGGCTTTGAGTTACAAAAGAAACTAAGTTTACTAAGTACATACAACAGACACGTCTTTCTACAGCGAGCTACAATTCAGGAAAAACAAACTAGGCAAAACCGAAAGCCTCTTCACATCTGCTTATCTTCTCTTGCTGAGACTGGCAACTCCCTTCTGTTCTCAGCAAGAACAAACCTTATCTTACTTTCTCAAGTTCACTTAATCACAGCCTCAAATTATAAACATTTCTGCATGGCATTTTCAACTCACAGTGGCATCCATCTTTACGATACATAGAAACACATTGAAAAACACATACATAACTAAATTAATCCTGACATCCCCAACTCCTTCTTCATAGCGTTTCAGCTCTTCTTTTTATACCCTCCCTGCTTCCCCACATCCCAACAGACACAGAGTTATTTAGGTACAGATTGAATAAAAAATGGGGAGGGTAAAAAAAAAGTCCTGGGCCTTCTTGGGGGATGGTAAATGTGATATGAGGTCCTTGGGGCGGGTGAAGGGAGAGTCTTATCTGATGATGATAGTAGGCTACTTATCAGTTTCGTAAAAGTCCAGAGGAACATAGATTTTATCAGTTGTGGTGTCATAAGTCAGGTGTGAAGTTATCACTTGCCAATAGACAGGATGGTGAAGGGCACCAAAGGAGAGTTGGTGTGTAGGCTGCACCTTCCACTCTTTTAAATTCCAAGTGAAGCAGGTTACAGAAGCTATAGCAGCTCTCTATCCATCTATTTCTCCTTCCACATTGTTTTGTCCCAGGCACATGGTGGACCCAGTCCAGCACTGTAGAATAAAAAAAGCAATATGGAAGTCAGTCGTAAAACTTGTAGGATAAAATGGGATTCCTACAGTCCAATCCTATATTTGAGATAGAGTGGGCACATGTGGCACATGAGTTACAGAAATTCGTGGGATCCTCCCAGGTTTTTCTGTTATCCAATGCAATTTCATTTAACTACTCATCTGCTATTTCTTTAGGGATGTCTGTATCCTGTTTTATCCAGAAAAAGAGGAAAAAGTCCTAGGACTATAGTTATGGGAAAAGGGGGTCAAAATAAGGATAAATAAGAATTATGCCTCACTTTTAGTCACCAAATGTGTAATATTGAAATATAGAGACAAGGAAAAACATTTACGGCTAGAACTTTTGTGCAGAGTGGATGAAAAGTCACAAAGCTCGTTCAATATTTAATAACTCTTTTATATAGCATCATATACAGTATATACAGGGAATTACATTACATTATGTGTAAAATCTTTTCAAAAAACTTTTTCCAAAAGCTCAGACAACTTTGTGACTTTGGCTCATCCTGTATTTGCTTCATTCATATACTCTTGGTAAATTTGCCGGACCTTTTTCTTCGAATGCTAAACTCATATCTCTAAATGTTCAATTAAATTTTCAAGTTACTGAAGTGCAATAAATCTGGAGACTGAAGGAAACGTTATTGAGGGAAGGAAAACAATTATTCTTCTGAAAGCAGAAGAATTCCCACCCCCATTGAAAGCCAAGCTTCTGTTTTGGGGGACAACTGGGTGGGAGAGATATTGGTTTATCCCAGTGGTTCTCAACCTGTGGGTTCCCAGATGTTTTGGCCTTCAACTCCCAGAAATCCTAACAGCTAGTAAACTGGCTGGGATTTCTGGGAATTGTAGGCAAAACACCTGGAGACCCACAGGTTGAGAACCACTGGTCTATCCTGTGGTTGCTCCCGGGGCCCTACATTGATTCCCATACCCATGGAGCTTACTGAACCCTGGTTTACTCAATAGTAAGTTCCAGTACATTAAAAGGCCCTTCTCTCCAACTATTTTACATTATATCTTTTAGCTTGCTGACATTTGTCTTGCCTTTCAATTGAAGCTGTTATCTTCAATAGCTTCATTTAAAGATGCCTCTTGAACAATGATAGATACTATAATTGTACTCAAGATAAATTGTGCTATTTATTTCCATGACATTTGGGATTCAGTTTGAACATTCAGTAGACTTACCAACCTTACTATGATACATTGAAATATCTAGGGCTTACGCAGAAACCTTTGAGTGTACAATGTCCATTTTGTAAAGAATAATTATTATTGAAATGTTATTACCTCCTTTCACTGACCTTTGGAAATATTTATCATAGGTATTCATATTTACCTACATGGTCATAAGGTTTAGAAGTTTTTGAATGTCACCTTTTTTTGGAGTTACTGAAAGAAGCATAAGTTAAGTGTGAGTGGATTTAGTAGATGCAAAGTATGAGCAGAAGCTCCAAACACAGAAATAGACTCTAGCTATGTTTCACTGGATTCCCAGGAAAGCAGAGAGCTGGATAAATTTGCTCCTCTTCATGATGGTTACGATTGTGTTGTTATGCACAGACCACAATGAAACTTTCCTCAGTGAATTTAGTTTTGTTATACTATTATTCTGTTCACAGCAGACAACCATGCAAGTTCACTGTATGAGACAGTACGGAAATATATATATGCCATTCTCATATATTGTTGTCATAACAACTAGCCTCTTTTCCTTTTTATTATTTTAGTGAATTTCCCCAAAAGCTGTCTATGTTAATGCCTTTTATCCCTTTTGTAAAGAAAATATTATTGACTTCCTCAGTAGTAGACCAAATTAGGTCCCAAGGACCTATGGTTTCTGGCTTGGAAACCTGAAGCACAACCAAGACAAACTGCTTGTAAGTATATTAGTATATATAACTCTCATTTTTGGGAGTTACATATTGTTTCCACAGTGTCTGTTGGGATGTGTTGTGGGGCGTAGAACATTGTACTGTAAAGTCATTACAACTTTTCTCTTTTATTTGGAAGAAAATAGAATTTAAGAAGTCTATATTTATGTATTCACAACTTGAACAGGTGGATTAATAGCATGTTTTTTTCTTTTCAATTCAGGCGAGGATATGCACAGCAAGAGGTAAGTCACATCTTCCCCATTTTTATCTTAGTAACAAGTTACCATTTATTGCACTTTTCTTCTACATAGATTAGGACCCTTCCACACAGCATATAACCCAGAATATCAAGGCAGAAAACCCCACAACGTCTGCTTTGAACTGGATTATCTGAGTTCACAATGTCATATATTCCAGTTCAAAGCAGAAAAGGTGGGATTTTATTCGGCTGTTGGGAAGGGACCTTAGATAATTTTGTCTAATATATAATAAGTTAATTGATTTCTATTCCACTTTTCCCTATGATGGATTTAAGGTGGCTTGAAATATCTATCTATCTATCTATCTATCTATCTATCTCTCTCTCTCTCTCTCTCTCTTTGGTTCTTGTGTGTGTATTCAGGTCATGAATGTTAGACCCTGTGATTGCAAAATCCATGCACACAACATGCCAACTGTAAAATCTTTTTATGGCTTTTTATGAGTGTGAATTATTTTGAGATTATGTTTGTGCTTTTTTCATATATAGTTCTAATGGTTTTAGATATTTACCTATGTATTTTAACTATAGCATATGATGCTTTCATTATTTCAAGAGTTTTTAATGGTTTGTTGTGATTTTAACTGATTTCAGAATTCTAGGTTTCTTTCTATTTTGATGCTGCTGCATTGTAGGTTTTTATGGTTGTGAGCCATTTTGGGCCTTGATTATGAATTAAAAAATAACTTGTATTATTACCAGCCAAATGTAAGGATCTGCTGAGCTGGATGATATGCAGCCCCTTCATGGCTTCCAGCATCTTATTGCTACCTAATCTGTTATGCAAAATATTTTCAGAAATCCCGGAGTACTTATATTGCTTAAAATAATAATCACATGAATATTTGCAGAAAGGCCAAGCACTAGAAAAAAGGATTGCTTAGTGCATTTAGGATATAATATTTAAGCAAACACTGAGGAGACATTATCTTTCATGCATGTCTCTTTTCTCATTAATGCTGGGAGAGGACTATGGTAACTCTTGTGTAGTACATTGATTGACAATTATGACAAGTCTGCTGGCTGTTGGGCTTGATGGATGGTCCCATGAAGAATTGAGAGAGTGGGTTCCGGAATTTGGAGCGTGAGCCATGAGATATGTTTTGTTCACTTGGGGACACATTCCAAAGTACTGAATACACATCTCTTCCATTGCTGATGACAGACATGTATTAGTTGTTGCTTTTCCCTCAGAAATAAATGCAGATGCTCATTTAATTCTTATTCAATCACCATCCACATTTTAAACAGGAAAGCTGCGGTTTAATCACATGGCCACTCTTCAGAACTGATATATATGCATTTTATACTCAGGAATATCTAAGGAATGGATATAAAAGAGTGCTTTACTCAACTACTACTATAAAGTTTAAATAAACGTCATGGCCTTTAGGAGCCTTGGTCAAAGTAGTCAACCATGGGGCAGCCAAAGGGGTCTTTATCATAATGTATATTCATATTCTGACTTCAAAGTGGTTGTGCCCTTTTGACTTGAGAAAAGCCACAATTACAAAAGAACTAAATGAGCTCTGGATAATATTTCAGCCATTAGAGTCCTAAACAATGTTATGGTGGTTTAAAGGTTACCTCAAAATAAATTACTTGCATTTTCCATTAAATCTATCTCATGAAGCTATTTCTTTTTCCAATTTCCTTAGCAACAGCAATTGCTGAGACCTTCCCTTCTCAGACCAGAGGTACATCTTCTCCGTTTTCTTGGTGGCTCCAAAACTTTCAAACTTCTTGCATGGAATATATTTTGACATACATTTTTACTTTTTTGGCACATATCTTGCTTTATTACTGAAAGGGAAATGAACTATAACTCTTTTTTAAAAAAATTACACTAAAGATTCAATGACTTGTGAATTGGATTCATCTATTTCAGCCTGCTGACATCAGCTGTACAGTTTTGAAGCAGACACAATTCCACAGCCTTTTTGTTCACACTAAACCTGTCCCAAGTTCATTATAGTCCAAAATAGCACGATGAGCTTCAGTATAAACCATACTCAAGAAGCCGAATGATAATTACTAACATTATTTCTGCTCTAATAACCATAAGAATGTTCATTAACTTCAATAGAAAGGGGAACAGGATAGTTGCTCTTTGTAAAGATAGTTGATACTTGATACTGCTTGACTTAGAACAAGGGTATACAACTTTTCTGGTCCTGAGGGATTGATTGGCTGGAGGCCATATGTTTGTGCTTGGACACAACAAAGACACAGTTTAGAGTTCCACACTCATACTATTATTTTTGATGCCAGAACTGTGTCACTCCAGATATTTTTGTCATAGTCTGTATGTGTCTTCAAGTAATCAGTTGACCAATGGTGACTTCATGAATTTGTAGGGTTTTCTTAGGCAAGGAATACTCAGAGGTGTTTGCCAGTTCCTTCCTCTGAAATGTAGCCTACAGCACCTGGTATGAATTGGCAGTCTCTGAATTTAGTACTAAATAGGGCTGACCCTTCTAAGATTGCTTTACCACACCATAGTCTCACACAATCATCTCTGCCGACTAGGTCTGTAGGAAGCTGTAGGCCAACTGTAGTCAGCTTCAGCTATCCACTGCATGCTGGAAGATAGTTCAGAGCTGAACCTTTGAAGCTGTGTTCATTTTCATGCATATGGTATCTTGTGTGACATATGATCTCATTAAATTGTAAAAATTCCCTGTCCTACCATGTTTCACTGATGCAGCCAACCCACCAGATCTCATCACATGACACACATCCAATTCTGGCAGGGCTCTGTGCCACTGCGTCAGTGAAGTGTGGTAGGAAAGAGAAATCTGAACATGGGAGATCACCCATGTTCAGATTAGAAATCATGGGGACAACGTGGGAGCATGCTGGAAAGTATGCTTTAACTGTGTGTGTTGGGCAAGCAGATGGTGCGGGCAATGCAGGCTGCCTGGTGATGTGGGGCGCCGGTTGACAGTTTTGCCCTGTTACCCCATGATTTCCCCCACTATCACGTTATGCGGTCCATAGTCAAGAATGTTTGCAATGATTGCATAATAATAATAATAATAATAATAATAATAATAATAATAATCTTTATTTATACCCTGCCACCATCTCCCCAGTGAGGACTCAAGGCGGCTTACATGAGGCCAAGCCCAACAACACAATATCATACATAAAATCAAAACACAAACAACAACATAATAAATTACATAAAACATAAAATATAAGAACACAGTAAACAAAATAAAATTACAATAAAATCATTCATAACATAGAACAGTGAGTGGGCTAAGAACACGGTTAAACAGGGTGAGACAACAATGGAGTAGATTATTTGTGGGGGAGAAACTCTTCCGGAATGGGGTCAAAAAAGAGCCTTCATACAGAAGAGGAGGCGGTATGCACCAAAGACCCATGTTGAGGAGTAACAGTCATATGAGATTATATGACTAATCTCCAAAAGCACAGCGGAAGAGCCAGGTTTTGAGGTTTTTCTTAAAACCTTCTAAACTAGGGGCTCACCTAATCTCACTGGGCAATGTATTCCATAGTCGGAGAGCCACTGAGGAAAAGGCTCTCTCCCTTTTTCCCAGTACTCTTGATCTTTCAAACCGATTGATGATGGGAAAGATCATCTGCTGGGAGAAATACACACATTATATATGCATCAGATTTGCACAATTAAAATCTTCCATACTCAAGCTCTGATCCGGTGACAAATTCAACCTTTAATCCACTATGAGAAAGGGTTATCACAGGCCATTAGTTAGAGAAAACAGGACAACACCTTGAGACATTCCTCGATGCAGCATGTTATAAAATTATATAGTGATAGAGTGAAGTAGTAGGATTGTGTTTCAAAAGCAATTAAGCTGCCAGACATTTTGTTTTTCTAGTCATTATGTCCAAAATAAATTCATGAAATAACTTAAGATAGCAATGGATGGAAATCTTCAGGCAGCAGACTTCAATAGTATCTAAAGTTTTCAATCTGAAGCTAATTATAAAGAGGAGAGCCAACGTGAGCAGTGTCTAATCTCCTCTTGGCCATGGAAGTTGATTAGATGACAGTGGGCAAGTCCCACTCTCTCAGAGGCAAAGGCTCGCCCTCCCTGAATAAATCTTGTTGGGCACCAACAGATTTCTCCTTAGGGTTGCCATAAATCAGAAACAACCATCCATGGAATGACTGTTTGGGGGGGGGCAGCAAACCATGGGTTTGAGGGAGACATTTGGCTCTTTCTGAAGAATACCAGTCCCCACAGTGGCCAAAGAAAAAAGCATATAGTGGTTTAAAATGGATACACACTCAATTATGTCACTAAAAGGGTTTTTCCTGCTTGTGTGTGAGAATATAGTTGCTTGATTCAGTTCAACAGAGAAGACAGTTCTACAAGGAATATTCAGTTCACTTTCACTGAATGAATGAAGAATTATGTGAGGGTGATAGGGTGATTACCCATATATTGGAATCCCGAGGACCTAGGGAACTTTTGAAGCAGAGCAAAGAACTGCAATCTAGTTTCGTATGTACCAATGGACAGGTTGAAATTGACTTCAATGGACAAATTGATCCTTAGATTAAAGAGTGAACTTTGTGCATGACCCAGTGAAATGAATTGTTGGGAAGAGTAATGTTTGCTATAGTAAATGCTCAGTCACCATTTTAAACAAACTGCTTAGTAAGGTTTGCTTGAAAACTAGTTATCAAAATTGTTCCAAAATAATTTTAACATATGATTACATTTGTATATTATTGTCTTATAAGACTCTTTTTGATTTAGTATTATGAAGAAATCATAATATAAAATAACCCCATAATAATATTACACTATTATTATATAGTTTGCATTACAAATAAATTAATTGCTTTCACTATTCACTGCTGTGAATAAATTGGTCTCTCTTTTCAATTACAAGTATTTCATTAGCAATAATGTAAAAAGTTATGAGATGGGAGGAAAGCAGAATTTACACTTTCGTACTGCATTCAGAATAATCTCATCATGCCAATAATATAGTAAGTGAAACACAATAACAAAAAATTAGGTTTTGTGGTATTAGCATAAATGCACACCTTCTGTCAAGTGGATTCTTTTGTTAATCTGAATAGATCTAGACGTTGCCTTAAAATAGATCTGAAGATCCTATTGACCTTGCTTACAAGAACCATAGAATAACAGAACCACAGAATAACTTTTATTTCTTCCACTTCTGAACATTGGGACTGAAGGCAGAAACCCTGTATGACTCTTATTATTCCAAAGAAAAAATAGTTGAGGATAAAAAGAGACCTATCGTTTTCTAAATCTTTTTTTCTCCGCTCATGCCCATTTGACATATTGCACTTAAGGTTTTGTAACTTTAATAATCTTTTTGTCTGTTTCTACTGAAAATTCTTTTCTTCTTCTGAATTCTAGGAACTTTCCATGGAATCGGGAATTGATCCTGGCCAAGAGTACTATGGGCAAGATTACTACAGTTATGAACATGGGTATTGTTCATTTTGTATTTTCTACAATTTCACAGAAAGCATGCCACTGCTGTTATTTTTAGGACATGGATGGGCCCCACAGTTGGGATCTTATGGGCAATTTTTAGGCAAGCCCAAGGATTCTTAATAATAATAATAATAATAATAATAATAATAATAATAATAATAATAATACACTTTAGTCATATTCCGCCCTTCTCTCCTAGGGTACTCAGAGTGGATCACAGCATTTACATACATAGGCAAACATTCAATGGCTTTACAATCATATACAATGAGGCACACAAACAAAGGCAGAGGCTTCTCCTTTCATTTCCAGCTTCTGGAGGTGGTGCTCATCTTTGGCTCTGGGGAGGTGCTTTTCTCCATTTTTAATCCAAGGAGCCTTTGTTGTCACCTCCGAGTTGTGTGACCGGCAAGATTGCTTGGCGCATCACTTTGCCTTTTCTCGTCAAAGTGGTACCTATTTATCTACTCACATTTGCATGTTTTCAAACTGCTAGGTTGGCAGGAACTGGAGCTGAGAGATGGGAGTTCACCACGTCTCATGGATTCAAACTGCCAACCTTCAGATCAGCAGTTCAGCAACACAAGGGTTCAACCGGGAATTTTCCAGAATGCTTTGATTATAATTTTTATCACACATTCTCTGGAGCTGGTAGAGACTACAATCCATGTATGCCAGGTTCTGGTAGTTGTTGTATGCTGTACCCAAAGTACTTACCAACTTCTTATTAAATATAAAGACTCCATGAACATTCGGATATGCCACATGTGGATATAAAGCCTGGAATCCTGTTAATTAGTTCCAACTAGGACAGACCTGTTGAATCAATTGCTAAATAGTGAATCAACAGATAGATAAATTTAATCAACTGTATGGCTTTATACTAACTGGGACTAGCAATAAGATTTACACTATTATAACTTTCAGATTTGATTTCATCCCATTAATGTTGTAAATAGTTGACTAGGGCATTATCATTGTTATTTTTATTCTATCTTTTCCCCAAAACTTTTGCTTGAGGAGACTTACTAATTAAAATATGGTTAAAAGATCAGCATTAAAATGGAATTAAACTACCACCAACATTTAAAAACAATATAAAGAAGGCATAATGTTAAAATAATAAAATGCATTGCAAAATGTTCATTTAAAACATGAAAAACAGTACAGCTCCCACCTAAGAGCTCTTTCTGTTAAAAAAAAATCCAGTTCTGTAAATTAGATTTTTGGGGGGTAAACACAATCATCAACAAAGGCAAAATTCATAATTGGTTCGGTGTGATTGATACATATTCTGTTATGTGGCAGATCTTTTATTTATGTCTTCTGTCTCTAGAGAAAAAGTTTCATCATGTTTTATCGATAGTTTCCTTTAAATTTATATAAATGTGTATATATTTATATATATTTATGTATATACGTATAGAAAGCATGTGCAGTCGTCCCTCCAGTTCTGTGAGTATAACAGGCACGTGCATCCCATGGAAGCGTCAAAATTGTGAATATTTCTAGAAGGGAATGAGGTAACACTGCTGTAGTCCCCAAACTTACAAAGTCAGTGAAGTGGCTCATAGACCCATTTTTTCCTCTTCCATCATGCCTTCAATGTCTGTTTTGCATCCGCAAAGGAAGGAAGGTACATTGCAAAACAGAAATATGTGGCATACCCGGTTCCTGAACAGTGCTTGATCACTTCCATAGGACGGTACTTTGGGAGCTGGAAGCAGTGGTAGAAATGTGCAAATAATCAAAACCACAAGGGTTTAAACAAAAGTAGAGGGATGAATATAAAATGAAAGGAAAGTATGTGTTAACATATGTTAATACACAGCAACATGGGCCAAGATTCCACCTCCCCTTCCCTGCATTTAACTTCCACACCTGGGAAAGCCACAGGCACAACACTATTGTAGACATGTAGATGAAAAAAAGAGGAATAACTGATCTCCTAGGCCTCTCAGTCTTCCTTTTCCCCTGCTACAATACAACAGCCAACAGACATATTTTCCCGTCCTTCTCAGTGCTTGATTCGCAGTGAGGCAGGGTGGTCATTGCATAAGGAAAGACTGTGTAATTCTTCCTTCAGCAATTAAAAAAAGTCACAGATTGGCATAATGCGAAGAGTTCCAAAATGAGGCATTATACAAATAGTTTCTGTTGGTGTATTTTCATGTTAAAAATGTTTTCTATTCTCAGTATGTGTGCTCTTTAATATCTAGTAGAAAAAGAAGAAATATTATAGGAACAAAACAAAAATTGACTAGATGGCCTTTGTGTTCAGCTAGAAACCGGATAAAGTGATACCTTGAGTTAATAGTTTGATTCATTCCATGACCAAGCTCTTAACTCAAATCATTCTTCTTTCGAAACAGATTTTTGCATTGAAGTGCTATTAATCCGTGCCCCCGCCCTCCAATTTTTGTTACTTGTTTTTAAATAAGAAAATGTAGTTTATCAATAACAAATAATACATAAAGGCACAATCACATGCAACAATAAAAAAGAAAGCTCATCTTTAAAATGATCCAAGCACATAGTTGTGGCAAGGAAGAACATTTGAGGCAACAAAATGTGTGTTGGCCAGTGTAACAGCAAGGCAAAACCTACACATTCACATGGAACAATAAAAAAATATCAACTTTAAAATGGTAGAAGCACAAGTTGTGGCAAGGAAGCACAAAGTGAAGAGGCAGAAGGATCCTTTTATTTATTATTCATTTATTTACTTCATTTATATACCTCTTTTCTCAACCCTTAGGCGACTCAAAGCGGTTAACAACAACAGTTTCAATACAAACATTACAAAATCATTGGAACATTTAAAAGCAATAGCATAACAACAATTAAACATCAATATGACAATCATTTACGTCTCATCAATAGAATCAGAATCCAGTCTCATACTGTACTCATTCCAGCCTCCATCCCTCTCTTGCTCTCTCCCTTCATGAAGCCAAACGTGCCAGGAATCAAAAGCACACAAAATCAAAGTTTCCCAAAGTAGCAAAGTGAACAGCAATATCTAAAATCAGACAAGAGCATGAGGCACAAGACATGGAGGCTGCTCTCTTGAAGCCCTAAAGCCCTGTACTCTGGTGCTGGCACTCTCTCTGATGCTAGCTCTTAACTCAAAATGTTTCTCTTATGTCAAAGCAAAACCCGGGCCAAACAACGGTCCTTCACTCAAAATGCTCTTAAGTTGGGATGCTCCTAAGTCTTGGTCCCACTATATCTGTGATCAGCTGAAACATTTAAACCATTATATAGATCTAAAACCAATTTTTTTAAAATGTTAGAATATATGACTTAAATTCCGCATAACATTAGCGGAGGGGAACAACATATTAGTCATATTCTGTTCTGTAATTGGTTGTGCAACTGGAAAAGGTTTTGGATTTTCACTGTATTGAAAATCAGGTGTCTATGAAAACAACCTCATTAGTTCTGGTAGAATGATACAACTTGATGTTGGCTTTTGTTACGTTATTTACAAATGTTATTTATATCTTCACTCCATAATCTCAATATATCGCAGCAACATAAACCCAGCCATTGACAAGTGGGTGCCTTCCACACTATGCAATTATAACACTATGATTCCTCTTTAACTGCCATGGCTCCATCCCACGGGTTCCTGGTGTTCAAAGTTTGATGAGACACTAGAGCTCTCCAGCAGACAATTATAGCTCTACCTAAAATGAAAACACCAATATCCATAGGCTAGATAATTATAGTTAAAGTGAATTAATAGGTCTATTATGGTCTAGTATGAAGGCACCCTTCATTATTACTTTGCATTTATGTTTTAGGAACATGTTGTGAAATTACAGATTGGCTGTATCATCAACTGTGCTAGGCATGCTGATTTAACAACCAAGTGCTTTCCTGAGGGGTGAAGGATCCTAAAGAGTGGGCGGCAAGTGGTCTTTCAAATGCTGCTTCCATTTTTGTCACCATCTTAAAGCCTTTTATTCTATTCAACAAGTGCATGGCCTCTAGATATGACAGTGCAGGGACTGTATTCAGTTATGTGTATCCAACAACAAGCAAACTGATCTCGTTTTGCTTCCAACGTATGCTTAGGCTCAATGCTCATGCTGACATTTCATATAGGAATAGCTACACATGCTTGATAATGCATGGATCTTTGCCTTTTTATGCAGGACAGATCTGGAAGTCAATTCCTGTCAAATATGCATAGAATTCACCCATATGTTAAACATATGCATCTTTACATCAATTCCTGTAAATTATGTAAAATTGTTTTTCAGTAATACACTGAAAAAAGCACTTTCAATTGTACAGGGAATCAATTAAGTTACTGGGGTGTTAGTCTAAGTGTGCTGTCACAAAACCTGTCAATACCAGTGCCATCTCTGGCTGCTTTCAAGAACAATGTGGATTACTCATTCATTCATATCTGGGACTGAAAGGGCTAAAAAAATAAATTCATTACATTTTAATATTGAAAAACAAAAACAAGGATAAAAACTAACACTAAAAGTCAAAGTAAAAATATTTTAAATATTATTATTAAAATGCAATTAATCTATCCCTAGAATTAAAGCTATTTCAAATAAATCCTATAATAAGTTGTATAAGGCTTTATAGGTCAGAATGAGTATTCTGAACTGCTCCTGGAAATAGACTGGCAGATTAGTTTAGTCTCCAGTTGTAAGAACCTGAAACGAATTAAGTAATGTAACAATGGTTGCTAAATCCAGTATTCTTATAAAATCTTCTTTTTTCAATAGTAGTTTTCAGTACCATGATGCCTTAGAGTCAACATAAGTTGGAAATGACTTGAAGGCACAAAACAACAATAAATTTGGGGTGTTCTTGGTTTTTTTTGGGCTATATGGCCATGTTCTAGAGGCATTCTCTCCTGACGTTTCGCCTGCATCTATGGCAAGCATTCTCAGAGGTAGTGAAGTCCTCAGAGGTAGTGACCTCACCTCACTACCTCTGAGGATGCTTGCCAGAGATGCAGGCGAAACATCAGGAGAGAATGCCTCTAGAACATGGCCATATAGCCCGAAAAAACCTACAACAACCCAGTGATTCCGGCCATGAAAGCCTTCGACAATACAACAATAAATTTATCTCAAGTTCTTTATGTTCACACCAACAGTTTTAAAATCTTCTACAATAATAATAATAATAATTAATAATAATAATAATAATAATAATAATAACTTTATTTATACCCCGCCACCATCTCCCCAAGGGGACTCAGGGCAGCTTATATGAGGCCAAGCCCAACAATATAGCAATACAAATAAACAACATACAACAACAATAAAATATAAAAATAAAAATAAGATTCAAGAAACAAAAAAAGCTATAATAATAAATGCAGGAGAGTTGTAACATTGAAATAAAGGAAGGAAAAAATATAATAATAACATGATTTCCTCATACTTTATATTCACCCAAAACTTTAAAGACACTTTGTGTAGAATAAGAGTCCTCCCACACCGCCATATAACCCAGAATATCAAGACATGTAAACTACAATATCTGCTTTGAACCGGGTTATCTGAGTCCACAGCCATATAATCCAGTTCAATCTGGATTTTACAGCTGTGCGGAAGGGGGCCTAAGAGATTGTCTGAAGCCAAGTTGTAGGCAGGAAATGACATGCAATAGCAGATGTTACTGTGTAGTTGCATATGTGCTGAATCCACGTGTATACAAACATAGCGGATGTCTGTACCTGGCTTTTTTCCCAGGTACGAATTGCCTCAATACGGAAGTCGTCGCCGATTGTTGTCTCCTTCTGGAATGTATGATGAGTATGGTGAAGTGGTTGTCGAGGGTGAAGGTGGTTACTATTATAGTCCACAGGGACCTACAGCAGAAGCAGAGGTAGGTATCCTTCTTCTTCTAATCCAGTCATTTTTAGAATTGGTAAGCAGTCTTTCTTCTGTTCTAAAAATACGTCAGTCTTAAAATGAATGAATGGAAGAAAATTCATGGAAGGAAAGTTTCCAAGACGTCCAAGCTGCCTACAGACATCCATACTCTCTCACGCACACACTCTAGATTTAATATAGTTTGACACCATTTAAACTGCCATAGTTTAGTGCTATGTAATCCCAAATTTTGTAGTCTGATGAGACTACAAAATCTCTACCAGCATTCTTTGGCAGAGAAGGCTAAATACCTTGTAAAACTACAACTTCTATGATTCCATATCATTGAGCCATTGCAGTTAAAGTGATGTTAAACTGAATTAAGTCTATAGTGCAGTTGCTCCCATACTGTCTATGGAAGTTGAGGAGACCTTTCTAAACAAGGTGGGGTAAGACATAGGGTTTAGGAAAGGGAAGGTGGAGTTGTCTAGAATCAGGGAAACCAAAGCCTCCCTGAACATTTTTTCAGACTATAGTTAGCTGTAGAACAATGTATCTAATCATCGCTCAATTAAATGCACTATTTTAGGGATTGCACAGTACATTAAATAATACCTCCACATCACAGAAACCATGATATAACCATGCTCTATTTGAACAACAATGAACTCAAGGAAATGTGTTTCCTATTTTCACATTTCTCAAGTGAGCAATCTAGAGACAACATGAGATTTCTCCTTCATCTGTAACAGGAGGCAGGCATCACAGTGCCAGGATAACTACTGGATTCAGAGTTATTCCTTCCTCTTGGTCCTGCAGCGGATAGGCTAGACTTTGTGGCATATGTGAAACCCTTCTGATTTGTTACCAAGTGTGTATGCTCAAAAAGCACTTCTTTCTCTTTCAGTAGCACAGCACAGTGATATTGTATGCAGGTCACTTTAGTCAATGGTCAGATGGTTACTTCTCATGCCTCTCTCGATGGCTTTTGTTAGTATGGTGAATAGGCAAACAGTCCAGACAACTCACATATTTGGGACTGTGCATTATAACAGCATTCTGCATGCTACAGCTGAAAACTATGTGATGAGACTAAAGATGAGATTTTTTAAAAGTATTTTGTTGACATCTTCCACTCATTTTCAATCCTGCAGCATCCTCTAGTGGCCAACACAACAATTTAAATTCTCAGCTGTACTAAAATAGAATTGCAGCTTACCCTGTAAATACCGTATTACTCAAATATATTTTGCTATGCTATTATAATGGGATTTGAACATCCATATTTGGTTTTGATGTGGGGAGGGGATTGTTTCTGAAACCATACCTCTATGGATCCTAAGTGCCCACTATGACAGTAGTTCTCAGCCTGAGGGTCTCCAGGTGTTTTGGCCTACAACTCCTAGAAATCCCAGTGAGTTTACCAGCTGTTAGAATTTCTGGGAGTTGAAGGTCAAAACATCTGGGGACCCACAGGTTGAGAACCACTGCACTATGAGATCCTTTTGTAAATTGTGAAGACGGCATAATATAGACATATTTATTACATATCCAGGTTCTTCTCCTAGACAATTGTCTACTAGACCCAGCACATGCTATAGCAAAACTCTAAAATTTTCATGTTATAGAAAAGTAATCATTACTGCTACTGGGATGCATTATATAATATGCATGTTTGATGAGAGATGAGGCAGTTGCCACAGTGACTATGTGACCGGGCGGTGCTCAATAGTGAAAGGTCAAGCAATTAAATGGTATAAACTACAACTTGATAGAACACAATTTTTGAATGTGATAGTTTCGTATATGCTTATATAAATGATGCAAACACAATCCATGCGGTTATTTTGGTTCTAAATAATCTAACATGTTAACTTGTATTTTTTTTCCTGTGTTACTAGAGTTTCACATTCTCCTACTCACTGCTTTTCCAAAAGCATAATGAAGTTCCATTTTTATAATCCACAGGGGAGAAGGCCAATTGCAGGTCCAAGCAGAGGTGTAAGCCAGAGACGCAGGGCTCCAGTAGCTATTAGTGCTGTAGGTGAAAGAAAGGCTATAAGAAAAGGTCCCAGCCAGGGAAGAAGGAAACTAAGAGCAGTGATGCAGCTGAGCCGATTAGCAGTTAGTGTTCACAAGCCAGGAACAGCGGAAGCAACACCATCACCCTGGAAAAAAGCAAAGATATTCCCAATGATGCTACAGAAAGTAAAAGGCAAAGATGCAGATTATGCCAAGCTGACAGGAGTGCGACCTGAAGAAGGAGACGATAGCATGGTTATAAAAGGAAGCTATTTCCAAAAAGCTGCAGGAGATGCACCATCAACAAAGAAGCGCAGTGTTGTTTCCAAGAAACTTCGAGAACGTGGTACATCTGAAGAAATGAGTGAATCAGAATCAAAGTCAGGAATTTCAATTAGTGTCACAGCAGAAAGTGATTCTGAAGGGAGTGACTACAGCAAGAAGAGGAGGAGAACATCATCTTCCGCAAGTAGTGAATCGTCGTCGTCATCCGGTTCGTCATCATCAGGATCATCAGCAAGTAGTGCTTCTGAATCTCGCTCAGATAAAGATTACTTGAAAGTGACACTGGACCAAGATGAAACCACAGAAAGCACCGTGGATTCTGATGAAGAACGTTCAGGTTCAGGTTCGGGTTCGGGTTCAGGGTCAAGTTCAGGTTCAGGTTCAAGTTCATCTGGATCCTCATCCAGTAGTGGCTCAGAAGATGAAACTGAAGAAACAGAGTCAAAACTGTCATCGGTACAAAGTTCAGTTAAAAGTGAAGTAGTTTCCAAGTCAGAAAAAAAGAAGAAACCCAGGGCCAGTTTCAGAAAAAAATCATCTGCTACTGAGAGTGAAACTGTAACAGAATTATCAGAAGAGCCATCATCATATGTGGAATCTGGTGACTATGAAGTGTCTTCTACCACTGAAAAAACTGTTTCCAGCAAACAGCGTGGAAGCATTGAAGGAGATATTGATCCAGATGTTAGTGAAGGAGAGAGAACAACAACCAAGAGTTCAACAGCACCAACAGATTCAGATAGTGGCACAAAAAACGAGAATATGGCTAAAAAAAGAAAAGCAGGACACAGTGAGCAATCATCTGTTGATACTAAGAGAACTCCGGATACTACAGAATCAGAAAATCCAAGTGATACCACATCTTTTTAGAAAGGAAAATGTGAATAGTAGGTTGATAGTTTGTAGCAAGCTGTGGTTTGTTGTGCTCTCTCTGTGTGCAGTGAGGGGGAAAGCATGCCAGTACAGGAGTTTAAAAAAAAGTGGGGGACATAAGTTAGATAAGAGTCGCCCCTTCCATCAAAAGATGTTTTTTGCAGAATATAAATCACAGGTTCCTATCTAAATGGCTTGAAGGACTTCAACAATTTGGAAGCATAGAAATGCTATGGTACATAAGAGTACAGGGAAGCATGCTATGAGGTCAGATAATGGAGACTGATTCACTCAATAAAAGCAGAAGTGACTCAAGTGATTACTAGATCACTCAGCATTTCCAGATTAACAGTTGCATGTGCACTCTAATTAGCAGGTTTATGTTTGAAGTGGTGTGGTGTGATATGACTATTCTCTCTGTGCTGTTTGATCTGTGATGATTCGTTTGCACAAGCTTGATGCTGTAGCCATCAAGCGAAAAATTGGCATATGGGAATTAGTTGTGAATTTATGGAAGATTATATTTTATTTCCACACTGCATGATTTGCATTTTTAAAGAGGTCTGTTTGCCTTAAAAGCGAATCTGGGTTTTTAAAAATCACTATTGTTTGCAAAGCTCTTATGCTTTCAGTGCTACTGCCCAAACTAATAGCCATTTTCATTATTTACCATGAATCAATTCTTTAAGTAAAGTGATGGTTTCTATATGGCTAGAGCTCAAGTCTAGGAAATGCCAATTATACAGATAATAGATAATTATATAGATACAGTTGTGACCGTGGTTGGCTATTGTATTACAAACTTAGATACTGTTGTGACTGTGGTTTATTTATTTATTTATTTATTTCTGGTATTTCTACCCCGCCCTTCTCAACCCCCGAAGGGGAACTCAGGGCGGCTTCCAACCGGCATACGTTGATGCCTACAATTCACACAGTAAAATACATAGTAACAATAAATTATAACAGTTAAAACATTACATTAATACAATAAAAATACAATAAAATGCCAGCCTGGTGGCCATCGTTTTGCCAAGTCCGTAATTAATAAATTCCGCTTATCATAGTCCGTTTCCAAAGCTTTAGTCATCATTGACCATTGTCAGTCTGCCAGATTATCCAAAGGCCTGGTACCATATCCATGTTTTTAATTTCCTTCTGAAAGAGAGGAGGGATGATGATGATCTAATTTCCCCGGGGAGTGAATTCCACAGGCGGGGGGCCACCACCGAGAAGAAACCTCATCCCCGCCAATCTCGTTTGTGACAAGAGCAGGGCCGAGAGCAGGGCCCCTCCAGAAGATCTTAAATTCCTAGGCGGGACGTTGAAGGAGATACGTTCGGACAGTTATGCTGGGCCGGAGCCGTATAGGTTGGCTATTGTATTACAAACTTTCAGTTTTTAAAATTCCATTAATGTAAATGGTGACACAAAATTAATAGTTTTGTGCATTGTTTGTTCTTACAATATTCACACCTTGCACTTCCTTTAAAATATATACAATTCCTATTGATATCAGAAACCCTGTAAAGCAGATAATTCAAATATTCCCCATGAGTTGAATTTACGTAGTATTTTGATTAATCGATTATAGTAATAAGCAAACAGGATTTTCCAAATCTATTTACAGTATTAGCATATAAAGTACCTTGTTGCTATCTGAGGACAGTGTACCTGCTTGTAGTTACTGTGTACTGATTCAGTCCTGTCGCAGTGCAACTATTGTGGGTAGAATCCACTATAATCATCATCATCATCATCTTTATTTATACCCTGCCACCATCTTCCCAGGGGGACTTGGGGTGGCTTACATGAGGCCAAGCCCAACAATACAACAATGCAAATAAACAGCATACAATGACAGTAAAATATGAAAATGATAATAAAATACAAGAAACAATATAAATAAACATCAACAATATAAAATCACAATAATTTAAACACAAGAAAATAAATCACTGTGGGCAGGGCCGATAGCAAGGATTAAAAGTTTAAAACACTGTATGAGAAGGCAATGTATTTTATCTGGACAGGGGATCAGAGGGCCGAAAGTAGGGTTTTATTGAACTAGTAGGTAGAAAATAAAGTGCTTCCGAGTACAATTATTTTGTGGGGTTTGGTCAGGTCAGGGGTTATAGTTAAATATAATATCAGATCACCACTATATCAAGTCTGAATCAATGACTGATAGAGAATATTTTGCAGAAAGTTGCAATTGTGACCAGTATGTGGCTGTGGATCAGTAATCTGTTGTCCCAGAGCTAATTATGTCAAACAGATCTCTTGACACTTAGTCTATAAAATCCCATATTTTCCTTCTCTAGTCATTCCTTTCTTTAACCAAGCTGGAAGGTGTTAATATTGTGTGGAAAAAAATCAGCTCAAGTCTATTAACATAAAATCCTTTACAATTTGTTGTATAATTACATAGCTAGGTAAAATTACCTTTGGGAATTATGTATTTACATTTGTTCTGTGATTTTAAAAACATAGTTTATGTCATGTACTGAAGTATTCGTGTGCTGATCTTAACCAAGAGCCCTTAACTGATCACCACATCTCAATGACTCTATCTCAAGTCTCACTTAAGTCATCTTGTTTCTAGAAAAAAAATTAAAGGGTGGCCAATCCTACACATTTAAACCAAACTATTGATATAATTCAATAACATCATGTTTTTCTTTTTGTTGTCCCACAGTGGGCCAGGAAGAAAAGGATCAAGTTGGTAGTTGATCCAGAGTACGAGACCAGCTCCACCGGAGAGGACAGTGCTCCCGAGAGTCAAAGGAATCGCCTCAGCAACCCCAACATCCAAACTAATATCAATGGCAATATCTACATTGCCCAAAATGGGTCAGTTATAAGAACCCGGAGAAGTTGCCTTTCCAATAATTTAAAGGTCACATCCCCTTTGCGGTTGGGGAAACATTTCAAGAAACTTGACAAACTAGCAGTGACGCATGAAGAGAATGTCCCACTGAACACATTTTCAACAGGGCCATCATCTAGCGACAAACTGAACACAAGACCATGTAGTGTTTCCTTTGCATCCTCTGCTAGAGACACGGAAAACCTAGCAACAAGATCAGGGGGCAACAGATTGAAAAGCACAGAAGAGCAAGAGTCAGTTGTTGATAATGAGGACATCAAGGAGCCTTTGGAATTACCCAGTGACATCACACAGTCGGACGATGAGGAACTCTGGATGGGCCCATGGAACAACCTTCACATACCAATGACAAAACTGTGACCTCTCTTTTCCATTTTAATTTTTACTCCCATTTATAACAAAAATAAATTACACTTTTTATCATCACCGAGGATAAAACGTATGAACTTTGTACCGTTCACAAAAAAGTTGTATACTTTGAACAAAATGCTTTAAAGTAAAAGAAAAAATCTAGAAAATTTGCACTCACATTTGTACCAATTAATTGTTCTTCCCGACAACTCTTTTTGACAGGCTCCGAAATCACTGAACAAATACTCATTAAAATGGACTAGTTTTGTTGGCTCTGGAGTTATTGTTTAATCATCATAAAACCACTGCTGAGATGCACAGAAATTGATTGTTTAATGTTTGTAGCTGAAACAGTGACATGCTGATTGATTTGTCTGAAAAGCACATCGGAGCTTGATCACTAGCCACAACCTCAAAATATACACTTGGTCACTCCCCTTGATAATCCCACAACACTTGATGTATTTGGTTGTAGTTGTGATCCACCTGCTCACAGTTGATATATTTGGGATATAGAGAGGAAAAGAGAGTTATTGCACAAAAGATGATCCATATTGGGTAAATCCAAGGCTAGTTTTTAACTTGAGAAGATTTAATCCATATATGAAGACAACAAATGGTAGAACAAATCACTAGCTGCCTTTTTATTATGAACAATTGTGCCTTATTTCTAAGAAGAATGTGTCCAATTGTATAGCCATTGGCGTGAGTTCCTGTGCAATGTAGAAGGGTCATTTATTTCATGACCATCCTCCAGGAGGCTTATTCACACAAACATGTCAACTCTCTAAAAATTTATATATTTTTACAATTCATCTCTGTGGCCCTCCCAGTTAGTAATGTCTTTCAAACATTACAGAGAGAAATATCCTATAATGTACTTGTACACATATATTCTATTTAGCAATGCAGATTTTAAAATAACTTTGCTTCTTTTATTCTCTTATTGTCAATGCTAAAGGTTTGCACAGGAGGCTTCCATTAGGGCAACAAAGATCTTTCTAAGGTCACTTTACATGGTAGAATTACTATGTTGAGCATGCTGGTTGGATAAATTCATACAAAATTCAGCACAGACTGATGCAACTGTTGGTGAAGGTTGAAATCATAGATCATAAATCATAGAAAGAGTAGCGGAGTTATACTTACATGTTGGATTCTCTGAAATGTTTCCTTTTTATCTTTTTTATTCAATTGATTCCTTGCCATAGAATGATATTCTCATATCTGTCTTCACTTCCTCTCATAAATAATCGTTTTGGAGGTTTTTCTTCAGCCATTTAGAGGGTATATTCGCTTGTGATGTGACAGGATGTGAACCCTGATGAATTTACAAAAAGTGTCTCAGTGATGCCATTAAGCCAATTGTCTTAGCTGATTTGGGCTTCAAATCCGAGTCAATCCAACCATCAGGAATTCTTAGAGCTGAAACACCGGGATGAGAAACATTGCATTAAGCGTCAACATAAAATATCCCTTTCATTTATTATTTATTATTATTTATTTATTACATACATTTCTATCCTGCCCTTCTCCCCACAAGGGGACTCAGGGCAGCCTTACATAAGCATCCAATTATGCTATCAACATATACACCAATGAAATTACAATTAAAACAATAAAATCCATTTAAAACATTATACAGATTCAACAAATAAATTCATTAACAATAAATTAACGTGCCAATACACCAAAGCCAAGCTGGGAGAATCCAGTGTCACAATGTCCAAAATTTTCTTTTTATTTTATTTATTTATTTAAAAGTTTTGTATACCGACCTTCTCACCTCTTTTGAGGGACTCAGACCGGTTTCCAACCATAAAATCACATACATTCAGTAAAACAACATAATTCATATTACAATAACAC